ATGAACACCACATTATGATTATTTACCTAAAATTTCATATAAAACTCGAGACCTCAGACCCATCGAGTCACAGCAAACAAAACAAAGTAAACATGTTCGATGCAATGGGTTGATGTCCAAGTCTACAGTCACAAACATCCGACATGCTCATGTCGATGGAAAGTGAAAACCACTGCCTCAATCTCCAATACATCAATTCAAAGACGGCCCTACTCATAGCAGCTCAAATCAATTCTTCTAGTTTACTATTACGATAAACTAAATGCCTATTTCACGCCGCTCATAAGAAAGAAAACACAAGTGATTTCATTTTCTAAACATTTCTAAGAAAATAAAAATATAAGTTATCAAAACCGTTACCCAATGAAACAATCATGCTACAAGTACATTGTTTTTGACATCAAGTTTGATATTGCGTCACATGTTGTAGCACGATTGGCCAGTTTGAAAATACAACACACTTTTCCGTCACTCCATTTTTGAATATGCAAAGGAGTGTCAAACTCCATGTACGCAAGGAGTGTACAAGGAGCATAATTCATCAAACTATTCTTGGTATCTGATTAAAATTACAAGCAAAATATATGTATACATTACAAGTTATGTGTCGATTTTCTTGTCTTATGACTACAATACGTCCAAATCCTAACTATAATTGGAAAAAAAAAAAAAAAATACTAATTCATTATTTATTTATTTTTGAAATTATCTGTTCGTGTAAAGTTATTAGTAATTTTTTAGGAGGCATAATAACGGTCCCATGAAATGTGTAAATAATAAATAAGTAACGATTATTAATGTATGATAGAAATTTACGTTTTGACTTTAATAACAAAGAAAAATGAACTTATTAATTACTTTTAATTTTATACGAACAGAGCATGATATACTTGAACGCTTGGAATTGATTTATAAATCGTTTCTCAACGGAGGTTGGTGAGACTAGTTAAAGTATTTGCACCCTAATGTGCTTCCCTGTCTCACTTCGTCCCCTTTTGCAGTAAAGTTTTGTGTTATATTTTCATATTTTTCGGCAATAACTGCAAAAATGGTGACAACTACCTAACTAGGAACTTTTCTTATCCTTTTTGGAAAAAAATGTAATAAATAAGAATTGAAGGGTTTCTAGAATGTGAAACATGGTCCACACAATAGGATTATCGTCGCAAAAAAGTAGCAACGAATGGGATTTTCTATTAAAAACATGACGTGCTCTAGACCTATTCCACCATTAGCGTATGGATAATTAGGGTAAAAAATTAGGTGAAAAGAAAAGAAAATACTAACTACTATTATTTTTTTTTCTTTTATATATTGATTAATCAAGATAATAAGATATAAAGTTTAGAAAAACGAGTGGCTCGTGGGCGAAGGGACAATCCAGCTTGTCCAAGGCGAAGGGCTCTTTTTTTAAAGGTTTATCTTTTAAAAAAAAATTGACGAGCTCGCGAGCCGAAGCTTGGCTCGGACATGAGCCACGACCTCAAGAACTGAGCCGAGCTCGACTCACGAGTAATGAACCGAGCAGAAGCTTCGCTCATGACAAGCACGAGTGGAACTCGTGTGCATACGACCTGAGTCGGTTAGACTCGGCCCATTGCTACCTCTATCTTGGAGTACACAAAAATGAACAAAATTAAAGAAGAAAGGAAGTGTGTGTTGAATATTATTTTCTATCTTTTCAAGTTCACTTTATCAAACTTGTCTTCAACGTACGTGTCAAGCGTAGATATAGCTTCAAGAAAGATGGGCCATTTAATGTAAGTCCATGTTGTCAACTTATAATTGATTCTAAGCAGTGAATTTTGAAGAACATGTTAGGGTTGAATATGATCCGGTTCAGCTCGAAATTTTTGGATATTTAGTAAATGAAATCGTCTGGTCCAAATTTAATTATGGAACCTTTCAGATTCGGTTTGGTTTGGTTCTATTCGATTCCCATATTCCGTATAATAATTATTTTTATATTTAAACTACATTAATTTAACTATAATATGTTCAATATTAACTCTTACAAAATAACACAGTCCAATCTAGTGTTATATTTTGCACATTTCTTTATTGAGTTCTTCATAAATATGACTGTTAAAATTACAATAAGAGGAAGATAGCGAATTCATAATAATAGAACGACAGAAACGATATTACGGTAGAATAAGAGATTTAGGTAAAATTTAGGTCAATTTGATTAAGTTGAATTTGACTAAAAATTGAAAATAGTAAAATCATATTTTAGGTTTGAGCTAAATTAATTAGTTTGCAAATTCATGTAGAAAAAAATAAAATAATTTGACTTATTTAAGATAAAAAAAAAAAAAACAAAAAAAGATTCAGTTCTTATTATGTTCTTCGATTTTAGATCTAGAACCGAGAACCGAATCAAATCCGTCGGTTCTTGATTTAGATACCCGTTCGGGTATTTAATTTAGGAAGAACCGCTCGGTTCGATTTAGTTCGGGTCCGGTTCGATCCAGTTCGGTTCGAGAGTTTTGTCAAGTCCTAGAATATGTGATTAAAAAGTAAATAAAAATTGTTACTTCTATGAAAATGCATAGAATTTGAGAGAATTATGATTACTTATCAACTTTGACAAACATGACCTAAGTCAGTTTTGTCTTGATCATGATTTATTCGCTTCAGCAACAATTAGAACAAAGCTCAACACCATACAATCATCAAGAGCTGCAGCATAGAGTCAGTATTATCTTTTTACATGTTAATAATGCTACTCAGAAGGCTACACATTTGATGAAGTAGATGATGCCTTCTAGTGTTGCAAAACCTTGGAGGAACTTGATTTGGGAGTGGGGTTGGGGGTACATGGCCGTAGGTGGTATTCACCGAGTGTGTCCTTGAATATCAGTGTCAAACAAGACACTACGACGTACACACCAACCTAAAAGGAGTATCCATACTCATAACCAAGCACCACTCAACTATCTGACTAAAGACCAAACTTGTTTATAATTTGTCCTGCCTCTAAAATCTTGATCAGCTCTCGTGTCTATGGCGCTATCAATTGGTTTCACAGCTTAGTCCAATTTTAAGCAAACAACCATGTTTTCAAATTGTGCTAGATGATAAATCTGTCATAAATCAGAAATGGATCCAGAATTTTAGTTTCATGGTTGCGGATATCAAGCTGATTTTGTCACCATCTAAATTATGCGTGAACCGAAAATCAATATCATCATTAAAAGACTGGCCCTCTCAATTCGAGCCAAAGTTCTGTCACTAAAAAGTCGAATTTAACCAGGAAGCACAAGATCCCAAAAACGCCTAATCCCCAAAAGATGCAACTTTGTGCCAACAATTACCAAAATATAAGCAGTCCCAATTATCCGTGAAGCAAAACTCAATTAAACCCGAAAACATGCTATTCATGCAAATATAATAGCTAAGTATACATCTACATGTTGATATTTTTTTGCACCGTTGACGTGGACAACAGATCCCAACTCTACTCACGTCCATGCAAGCTTGTTCTCACACACTTGGACAAACCGTTAATTGCACGTGGACTTCTCTGACGGCGGGTAGGCAACCGCGAATACTTCGACGGTCAAGTCAGTCAAGTAAGTAATATATTTGGGTGTGAGATGTACTTTAGATGTGAGCCACTTAAGTGTTCGGACACCGAAGACGTGTATGAGAGTGTATAAAGGTGATAGAATGATCTTACAGTGTCTTTGGTATTCAAAGTTGCATTACCCTCAGCTGGTCAGGGTTGTTGGCTTTTATAGTGGTAAGGATGAAGTGGTGACCTTTGGATGAAGAGACACATGATTTCATATCAACAGTCGAGACGTCCCATCGTAGGTGTCCTTTCAGGCGACCATAAGACCTACAACATTTAATGTTTTCTGAAAAGTAACTCTATAGCTTAGGACCTAAGATATAGGTTGATACGACTTGACCTGATGCCCGCTGTAAAAGGTCACATCAATCGTTTTCAAAGAATCTTATGTGCAGAAGATTTCTTGGGAGAATTGGTGGTGACAGATGCTCCTCAAGGTAGGAAGCTTCTACTTTTCCCAAGTGGGCTTCGGCCTCGGTTGAAGCAGTGAATTGTTCTTCCATAAAAAGGGTGCAACAAGAGATGCCTTCCTCCAGTTATCTTTGTATTGATTTTTCGGTTAAGGTGCTTGCTTCGTCACCTCTGATGACGTGGAGTGTTGGCCTCTGTGAGGATCCTTGATGGCAGTCACGTAGGCCTCTTCTTGTGACGAGGCATAACAATTGTTCCACGAGTTCATATATGATTATTTATATAATACGTGGACTTCAGAAGTAGGTTGTGATTGTGGTTTCATTTCTTGGAAGCGGTGTTCTGCCGTGCGTTTTGTTGGGGTGGATAGTCTACCTGTGATGAACACTATCTACAGACTACAATGTAACTTGACAGGCTTATGTTTGTTTCTAAGGACAAAATAACTTCAAAGTTCAGGTGCCAATTATCACACAAGGCGTGACAAAGCTACACGAACCCAAATGTAACCTTCTACAGGGTTTTAACTTGACATGGCGTTTTTCAACATGTTGCTGGGGGAATAATGAATACAGATTCAAACATAAGAAGTCAAAATCCATTCTCATCAAAAAGTTTTCGAACTTATGCACTTGACACCATAACACTTCGAGCTTAGTCAACCAACCTCAAAGCATCTTTAAATTTATCTGCGCAGATTATATATGCTCAAAAGAAGCTCAAAATGACATTGAGAGAAAGAATACTAAAGGACCAAACTTATCCAATTGTCCCTTGTCAATATTCAGTTAGAAAAGCTGAAAATAGCTTCGTTATAACATACAAATTTTGATGGCACACAACAGCTTGGAGTGTAATTGCTGGTCATTTCCTTTGTAAATGCATAGAATACCAATATTGTTGCATTTTAACAGACGAAAAATCAAGCATCCCATATATGTGCATGCACACAACCAGTTGCATTGTCCTCAGTAATATACAAAAATAACTTGCAGATATCTCCGAATGATACTCAGTTACCATTTAAGATGACATTCGGATCTTCTTCATCAGAGTCAAACTCAACCTGCAAGCAAATGAAACCATCACACAGAACTCTACCAGCTTGAAGTGAATTATTCTAATAAAATTTTAATATGTAGAAGCAAATATAATATGCCAACAAGAAATAATAAAACTGTCCTCAAATTTATCGCTGCAAGTTAAACCAGAAATCCATACAGCATTACCACTTACACATAAAGTCAAAGAAATGAAAGCTTACATTTTCATCCTTAAACCACCTGCCATGGCAGTCACGCTTCCAGCCAGCAGCCGTGAACTTCAGTTCCCTCTCTTGACGCCCTCTATAATCCAATTGTTGCACCTGGTCAACAACTACTTCCTTTTGAGGCACCTCCGTTTCAATAGGACATTCCTTCCACTGAATAGATTGACCATATACACAACTACTAATCACACTTTCACCTTCCGGTTTCCTACATTTATTCCTCTGTTCAATAATATCATTAGAAAATATCTCAGAAGCTGCCTTCCGCGTGCGCTCAATCAAGGGTTTTCTCCCATTTGTACATTGTTGATAAGGTACATTACTGCCCGAGGTGGAGGTAACACAGTTTGACATTGCTAATCTCTTACTTATCTCTTCTTGTCTCCATAATTCTCTCTCCTTCCTCCTTGACTCTGCGGCTTTATGGCGTGGTCCTTTGCTATGCATCTGAATCCAATATCAACGAAAATTACTTCACTCTTCTCACATCTTCAATTCAATAACAATAATCTATTTCAATTAATAAAATCCTGATGAAATTTAAAAAACAAATTTCAGAATTTAGGATCCTGTACCTAAAAATCAACTATACTTCAGTCTTCTAAAATCCTGAATTCAATTACAGTAACAATTTCAAGTAATAAAAATGTGTTTAAGAAAAGCATACTCAAAACTTAGGATCTTTTGCCATGTATCTGTAACAAAAATCCGATAAGTTTAATAAAAATGTGGTAAAAAAAAAAAAGGCATACTCAAAACTTAGGGCTTTTCGCCATGTATCTCTGTGTCAAAAATAAACTGAAATTCCTAATTCAAATACAAAAACAATTCAGGTAATAAAAATGTGATTAAAAACATATTTCAGAATTTGGGGATGGAATTTTACGGAAAGCACAAGCGGGGTGTCGAATACAGGGTTGTGAGGGCAAACTAGGCAAGTGAATTTTCCATTGGATAGTTTCTTGTAAGCAGAAGCTTCGAAGTCTTCGAGAAGTAAATCGTCGACTCTTCTCTTCCGGTATTGAGCCTCCCGAGCCCAGCTGTCTCCGCCGAACACGCTCATCTAGGAGAAGAATTCAGGCGTCGATTTCTGTATGTGGCGAAAATCTCGAATTAGGGCGTGTAATTATTGGGGGAGAAAATGATGAACACGAAGGGGATGTTTGGTATAAATTTACTCTTTTAACATTGTTTTCTTGATTACAAATTCACAACTAATAATGAGATCATTACATGACATTTTCTAATTCCGTGTGTACAAGTAGCTTTTATAAAAATCAGTACGACATTGCATGGATCGGTTTAAATTTATTTTATGTCCAATATCCAATGAATGTTTTGTCGCTAACAATTTGTCAAAAACTCTATTCAAGATTTTTGTACATGTAACGTTTCTCATTGTAAAATAATTTATGCAGGGGATGGCGAGTTCGGGACAGAAAATCCTCAATCTCAATCTACTGTCCCATTCATTTTATTTATTTATTTAGGTATTGTTTGATTCTCATTTTTTTCAAAATACATTTTTCTCTCTCTTCATTTCAACTATACATTATTCAGTAAAATAATACTACACTTAAATCCAAAAATTTTGCTATTCCAAAATACATTTTTTGCAAAAAAAAGGGGCACCAAACGGGCTCTTAATTTTATGTTAAATATTAAATAAAAAACTAAATTTAAATAATTGGTTGAGACACTAAAAATGCCAAGATTATATCACATCTTGAACTCTTTAACATGAATGGCTGCCTTATCCTCGATTCGGTGCAAAAAAGTCTCCCCCGTCCACGTCTCGCCAACCCCGGTTAAGCAAGGAGTCAGGACCTCTATCGGGTGGGTCCTGTAGGGATCGAGCTGGTCACGAATTGTTGTCATCATCGTGATTGAGTATTGTCCTTCAGAGTAGCAGTGCCAAATCTGTTTGTGAGGTGTGTCTTGCGTGCTCAAAGGAATGGAAAGAATTAAGTTGTGGTTTGGTGGCTTGAATAAGTCATTGATTTTTGCCTCATTCCATTTTCTAATAGCTTTGCTCACACATCCTGCTTGTTTCATTCCTTTGCGCAAAAATTGGTACGAAAGAGTCTGGCTTAGGAAGCCACAGATCCATATTTAAGATATGGATCAGCTCTCCTCCCCACACGCCATCTCATTCCAGCTTGTAGTAGTTAACATCCCCAAATGAAGCGTTTCAAAGAAAAGAAGCCCCACATTGAGAAAGAGAAGCTAGAGAAGATAGAAATAAATCTTTTTTTCATCATGGTGAATTACTGTAGCGAATGAAAATAATGTAGTCTTACATTGAGACGAACCTCTATAAATCTTGCGTGTTCTTAGGTTTAATTTTTCTTTCTTTCAATTGATTTCTCCCAGTGTAATCGAATTAAGGTTCATATTTCTCAACAGAAGATTGAACTTCAAAGGGAAACAAAACACGAATCTTCATTACATGAAATTAATGCTTTAATTAAGACACATCTATTCTTAATTTGTTCAAATATTATTCAAACTAGTCCTCGCAAGAAATAAAAAAGAAAATATATATTGAGCAATACAATTATAGCTTGAAGAAATTGTATGCGTGGATATATGTATGAAGCCCTTTTGTGCCGTTAATACTAATGGAATAACGGCCAAACGGGTTTTGAAATGAAATCCATTGCGTTCACAACAAGCAAAAGAATAAGGCTGCCATCTCTTAAGCACAAATTCAAAACCTTCTTCTCCTCCTTATGTCACTTGTGCAATCTTCTTTGCTCTTCTCAAATCATAGTTTTGGAAACTCCAGAAATTCGGCAGTAGATATACACTGTGAGGAAATGTGGTGTCGTTTGGGGGATCAAACTTGAATACTACATGCAAGCAACAAATAAATATTAGTTTCTTAGATATTGGAAACAATAAGCAAACATATAGAGTTTTTAAATTTAAGAAATAATAGAATGGGAAGCCTAATTAAGAAAACAAGAGAGCTTTTAAATTTAAAAACTTAACCCGTAACTAGGATAAATNTTTTTTTTTTTTTTTTTTTTTGTAATGAGGATTAATTTTAATGCAAATCATGTTATGAGCCCCTCTACGAAGCATCACAAGAATGCTTCTTTGGTACCAGTTCTCCTAAAGAAATTTTTGTATTACTACCTAAGAGATTCGGGGATCTAGGGTGTGCCTTCACAAGGAGTCTGAGGGTCTAAAGGACCTCCTAAGAAAAGTACACCCTCGCAAGGGCCTGGAGGGTCTCCAACTAATGCTATTCCTAGATTCCCTACTACTACCCTTTTCCTTCTAAAAAGTTGCAGCCAAATTTTCTCTATTCTGTAAGTTATAACAATCCTTAATTTACCCTTTGCACAACCACCATCAAGAACAAGTATATCTCCATGAGCCTTAGTTTCAACGAGAAGCTTCATCTTCTCATTTGAATATAGAATATCATAAACTTCTTCAATTGTGAGATAATGACTATATAAGACCATGTCTTTAAACAACAAATATGAAATGGGCAAAAAACAACAAAATCAATCCAATATAAGCGAGAACTGCTCGCCTCCTAATATGCCATAATGAAAAATTTGATACTGCGATCTAATAGCGGAACCTTAAACTTCATAGTTGCTATCACAAAATATCGAGATAAGCTCTTAACTTGATCAAAACCTCGATCTCCCAAGAATGTCCAAGCCTTTGGCTTTGATACTAGTTTGTTGTGAAAATCAGAAGATGTTAGATAATTCCAATACCAATTTGTTGAAGACGATACAAGATTATAGGCATAATATAAAGCAAAGATCAAAAACTCACAAGATGAACTATAATTTGCAGAGTAAAGGAGATTTCACTAAAATATAAAGAAAGAATTACAATGATTTGTGTTTATAATTTGTCTAACTAATAATGGAGATAAATAAACCTCCAATAAAGTTAAACCAATTTATAATGAGGTTAACGACCCATGATGGGGGTAAAACCAACCCAACTAAATTACAGAGAAAATTCAAATATATATAGGAAACAATCCAAACTCTAAAAGAAGAGTTGTTGATGAAATAAAATGCCCAATTGTTTCCTTATCTTAATCTCCTCAAGTCCAACACAAATTCAGACTCCCAATAAAGCTTCCAAATAAATCTTTAGCTAGAATTTGTCAAATAGAATTCCAAAATAGTATTTCAAATAAAATTCCTCTTAACTTACACTTTAATTAAAATCTTAAATTATTTTCAATAAAGAACTTGGGTGTGATCCAAATTCTAACTGACAGTTTAATCTCCTTTTTTTCATAAAAATTGAACTATAATATTTCATTATTCAACATAAATTACCATATATTGATATTCCATCATTTTAATGATAAATAGCAGTACTCATCTGTAATTCACTTGTTAATCACAAGGCACAAAAACTGTAACTTTGTATTAAAAGTGAAAATAAAACACAAGCATGAGCACAAACACAAGCATGAACATGTCAAATAATGTAACAGCTCATGATAACATTTATGCTCTAAATAACTTGTTTCATAGAAGAAGACTGAGCTTTAAAGGGAAACAAAACACAAATCTCCAATACATGAAATTAATGCTCTAATTAAGACAGACATCTATCCTTTATTTGTTCAAACATTATTCAAACCAGTCCTCGCAAGTATTAAAAAAGAAAATATATATTGAGCAATACAGTTATAGCTTGAAGAAAGTGCATGTGTTTGTATATGTATGAAGCTGTTTTCTATCTTTAATACCAACGGAAGAATGGCCAAACGGCAAATTTCATCATCCCAGTTTTGCAATGAAATCCGTTGCGTTCACCACAAGAAAAATAATAAGGTTGCCATCTCTTAAGCACAAACTCAAAACCTTCTCCTCCTCCTTGTGTCACTTGTGCAATCTTCTGTGCTCTGCTCAAAGCACAGTTTTGGAAACTCCAGAAATTTGGCAGCAAGTAAACACTGTGAGGAAATGTGGTGTCGTTTGGGGGATCATACTTGAATACTGTATGCATGCAACAGATCAATATCAGTCGCTTAGATATTGGAAACAAGAATAAAGATATAAGAGCTCGAGTTACTCATCCAAATAAAGTTAACCTTTTAATGTGGACTTATTATTTGACAATATTCTAACTCTGCTAAGTGTTAAATAATTGACATCTCATGATTTAAAACGTAAACTCGACAATGAAATGGCAACATACCGAGTGTGTCATTCAAGTAAAAGGGGCCATTTTTGATAGCCCAATCAGTATAATTAAACCCAAAATGCCAATTCTCAGAACCGCCAACTATTATTCTTTTCGAAGTTTGATTTGCATTCCAGTGTCCATAAGGCCAGCCTGCAGTGTGATTCCAGTTTCCATTCCAATCTGCACTGAAATTCTTGCCAAACATGGATATGGCCACAAGAATTACAAGGGCTCCTGCATTTCCCAAACCCATGTTATTTTTTCCTCTCTGGTGAATGTACTTCTTTAAGGGAGTTTACAAGAGTAAATTTGATGAGTTGATGTATTGAAGAGATAGTATGTGGCGTTTTATAGTAAAAGTTTGTAGGAATTAAGTCAAAATACATGTACGTTGGCAGAAATCAGACAAAAAAATTCTCTTTCTTAAGTTGGTTGGTAAGACTGAAAATTATTAATGTAAAAGGTTGAAATTTAGAAGTGTTTTTTCTTACATTTTCCAGGTCAACATCCACATAGGTTGCAATTAATCCTATTTTTAGTATATATTAAGAATCCTCCATTTATTGTGAAAAAAGTAAACAAACATCCCACGATAGTTAGATAGAATGGGTCAAGAAAGAATTGCTACCTAGCATTCTTGCTTTAACTACTTCAATTAAATATGACAATTTCTTCTTGGGGAAGATTATATGGTTTGATTCGTTGCATAATTAATCTTATTAATATTTTCGGGATTCGTTATTTAATCTAAATAATACAAAGTGATGAGATTATATGTACAGACAAAAAATGGGTTTGAGTCATGTAGTGTAACACAAATTTAACTTGGAATTGTTGAAGAGAATTGCAATTACCATTGAGAAAGCTTGAACCATGCTCGCG